TCGCAGTGAGTTGTCCACTCCACTGCTCGCGCAAACATCCCACCCACCCACCTGCAACTTGGTTTGCAAAATCTCTTAAGACCGGGACGGTGGGTACCAAATGGCACTTGGCAACAACAGCGACGCCGACGACGACAGCTACAACGACGACGACGACAACGACTACGACGACACCGACGACGTCTCCAACGACTTCGACGACGTCGACAACGACGACGACGACGACGACACCGACGACGACGACGACGCCGACGCCGACGACGACGACGACGACGACGACTGACAACGACGACGACGACGACGACGACGACGATGACGACGACGACGACGACGACGAACGACGACGACGACGACGACGACGACGGCGGCGACGACGACGACGCCGACGTCGACGACGACGAAGACGACAACGACGCCGACGCCGACGACGACGACGACGAAGACGACGACGACGTCGCCAACGAAGACGACGAGGGAGGAGGAAGGACGACGACGGTGACACCGACGACAACGACGACAACGACGAGGGAGGAGGGAGGACGGCGACGACGCGAACGACGAGGAAGGAGGAAGGACGGCGACGCCGACGACGGCAACGACGAGGGAGGAAGGAAGACGACGACGACGACAACGACGACGACGACGACGACGGCGACGAAATAGGAGGGACGACGACGAGACGCCGACGACGGACGACGACGACGACGACGAGGGAGGAGGAGGAAGGACGACCACGGCGACAACGATGACGAAAACGACCACGACACCAAAGAGGACGACGACGACGAACACGAGGCAACACAGAGGACGACGTAGGCGACGACGACGACGACGACGCGGGAGGAGGGAGGACGGCGACGACGACGACGACGCACGAGCGCGCGCGCGCACGCTTTTGTTGACAATCCGTGTTGCGAAACCTTGTGTTTTTGTAGGTTTTTTGGACACGATTTTGAAATCCTTCCGAAACCGATGGGTTATGAAGGTTTTCGGCATACGCGCGCGACGACGCGCGCGTGTGCACTTCGTCCCGTTTTTTGCAGAGGATTCTCGCGACGGCACACGCGATGCGCGTGCGCGAAGCCCGTTGGGTAGCATGTTGTGAAAATTTTGAAAAAATGATTTTCTTAACATTTCGCAAGAGCTGGCGCGGAAACTTTTTTTAGCAAATCTGTGTTGCGAAACCTTAGATGTTTGTAGGTTTTTGGGACACGATTTTGAAATCCTTCCGAAACCGATGGGTTTTGAAGGTTTTCGGCATACGCGCGCGACGACGCGCGCCTGTGCACTTCCAAGGGCGTTCGACAGATTTCGACATGCGCGCGCGCGAAGCCCGTTTGGTAGCATTTTGTGCACATCTTGAAAAACCCATGGTTTTTTTTCAAGATTTCGCAAGAGCTCGCGCGGAAGCTTTTTTAGCAAGTCAGTGTTGCGAAACCCTGTGTTTTGGTATGTTTCTGGGCAACTCGATTGCGAAATCCTTCCGGCACCGAAGGTTTTTGAAGGATTTCGGCATGCGCGCGCGACGACGCGCGCGTGTGCTCTTCGTCCTATTTTCTGCAAAGGGATTCGCGAAAAAGTGTTATGCTAGAACAGCAAATGTCACCGCATATTTTTTTACACAAGGGACCCTCAGGGGGGGAAACCCGGTTGGCATTTGACATTTTGATTTCATTTTTAGGATGGACATGTGGTCATAATCATATAGGATTTACATACCCGAAAGGGGGACCGATAACGCCGGGGGGGATAGATCCTATTCTGTTTTTAGAAAGGAGAATGTATGCGATGCAGCCTGTGTAATACAACATATGCGGTGCACTGTATGCGGTGCAAGTGGTTTTAATAAACGAATTGACACATCCCATGCTCTTGCAACCGTCCCATCCACCCACCCGCAGCTTGGTTTGCAAACCCATGCGGTGGCGATTGCGATGCAGGCTTGGCGTTGGCTTGTGCATCTCTGCGGCCGCGCCAACCCAAGCACGCGCGCGCAGCGGCCAGCTAGTTTGGCGCGACCGACGCGGCCGCGTTGACGCTGACTGCTTGGCACTTCCCAGCGAGCACTCGAGTGCGAGTCGGTGAGTTGGGCGGGCGAGGCATCATGGCGACGCGGGCAACGGTAGACACGTATATGAAAGTAGCGATGGTGACGAAAGCGGCGATGACGACGGTAAGGCAAGTGACGGCGCCGATGCTGGTCACACCGATGACGATGTCGGCGTCTTCGCGTCGGTGGTGAAGGTTTGTGAAGGAGTTCGACATGCGCGCTCGGCCGACGCGCGATAATGGCCCGCATGGTATTATTTGACGCGGCTCGCGCCCCCCCCCAGCACGCGCGCAAGGGTGTTCGAGAGATTTCGGCATGCGGCGCGAGTGGCCCATTTGGCAGAATTTCACTTGTTTTTTTTGAAGGATTCGCAAGAGCGCGAACGCATTTTTTGTTTTTGCTTGAAAACTGGTGTTGCGAAGCATTTTTTACATTTGGTTTTGACAGCTTACGACGCCGAGGCTTTTGAAGGATTTCGGCATGCGCGCGACGACGCGCGTTTGTGCACTTTGTTTCATTTTTAGCAAACCGATTTTTGCGACAGCCCGCGCGCAAGGGCGTTCGAAACCAGTGAACCACTTCAGCGGGCTTCGGGGGGCGCAAGGCCGACACGCTGCACAGCAATCCCTCCCCCGAAAACGCCACCCTCCTCCGAAACCGCCCCCTACTGCAGTCAGCGAAATGGAGACGGTTGCAGCGCTGACCGTGCCCCGGCAACAGAGAAGCGGGCTGTGCGTTGTGTGAGTTGTGAGTGAGCTAGTGTTTGAGCGCTTCGGCGTACGGCGCGTGAGTTGCGGTTGGCCCGCGAACGATTTCCCACCCGCGCGGCGCACATAATGCTCGTGGACGCGCGTGGGTGGGAAGCTCCCCCCTTGGGCTCACGACCGATGTCCCAGTTGCGCAGCGAACAGGCTGCTCGTGGACGCTCGTGGGTGGGTAGTTCTTTCATGCCCGCAATCACAAGCAGATGCCCGCAGGTGTCGCAGGTCTCACAGGTAGGTGTCGCAGGTCCCGCATGCCCCTCAGGCCCCGCAGGCAGGTCCCACAGGTCCAACAGGTTCCACATGTACCTCAGGCCTCTCAGGTCTCACAGGTCCCACAGGTCCCAGTGGACACAGAGGTCCAACTGGCTCAAGCTGGGGGCCGAGTGCCCGCTCAGGGCACGCGCACTCTTATCCATAGCGGTTCCCCTGCCACCCACGTGGTGATGTATGCGGTGAGCATCGGTCAAGATCCGACAAGTCTCCTGGTGACCGGTGACGAATTGGGACTGTACGCTGGCCAAGCGCTGCGCCGGCGACAGAAGGGAAAGGAGGCGGCGGGGACCCAGACATGCGACGTCCTGATTTTTTTCAGGAAGGCATCCCTTGAAGTCCCGACCCTTTCCCCGGGGCCGGTTTTTCGTCCCGAGTCGTTTTTTGACGGTCCCGAGGCCCGGCGAGGGCCCCCCGGAGGCCGAAAATAGCCCAAAACCTCCCGCCCTGATTTTTTGTACGACGCGATCGTGTTTGGGATCGATGGATGGGTTGTGGTGAGGAAAGGGGCATGAGCCTTCAGCCGCGCGAGGTGAAGGACCCCCCCTGGCCGCGCCAGCCCGAGACCCGGCCGCCGGCAGCCTCGTCTCCGCCGCCGGCCGCCCCAGGCTTCCACTCCGAACAATCGTCGAGAGCGAGGCTGAAATTGCGACGCGACGAGCGGTTCCCAGACCTCCTCGACTCATGAAAAAATCACGACGGGAGGTTTTTCGCTATTTTCGGCCTCCGGGGGCCCTCGCCGGGCCTCGGGAGCGTCAAAAACAACTCGGGATGAAAAACCGGTCATGAGAAAAGGGTCGGGACCTCTGGGGGTCGACGTAACGAAAAAAACATTACGTCGGGGGTCTGGGACGAGCGGATTTGGGGTGTTTTTTTTTCTGACCAGGCCCCGAAGTTTTCGATCACAGATCATGGCGGGCGACCTCTCGAAGCTGGGGTCCTCACCCGGTCCCGGGCTGGGGCCGTCCAAGAGCGCGTCGGGACGAGAAGCCTGCCCCGAGGAAGGGCTCCAGGCCTCCCAGATCCCCGACGTCATGATTTTTTCATGACGTCGACCCCCAGAGGTCTCGACCCCTTCCCCGGGACCGGTTTTTCATTTTGAGTCGTTTTTTGACGGTCCCGAGGTCCGGTGAGGGCTCCCAACGGCCGAAAATAGCGAAAAACCTCCCGTCGTGATTTTTCCACGACGCGAAGGGGGTCTGGGCTCGGCGACACAGAGGTGTGCCGCCAGCCCAGGCCCCCTCGAGTAATGAAAAAATCATGACGGGATGTTTTTCCTAATTTTCGGCCTCCAGGGGCCCTCACCGGGCCTCGGGAGCGTCAACAAAACGACTCGGGATGAAAAACCGGTCCCGGGGAATGGGTCTGGACCTCTGGGGATCGCGTCATGAAAAAATTATGACGTCGGGGGTCTGGGTGGCGAGTCGTTTGCCCCAGGATCCATTTTGGAGCGTCCTGCGGCCCGATGGCGGGCCCCCAGGGTAGAGGTCGAGGAGGAGCCTCGTGATCTGACGCTGCGAGACGTGTGCACCATCGCGAAGAAGTGCGAGTGGAGTCCTGGACCCCGTCTTCCTGCAGCGCTTTTGCAGGCCGGATCGAGCTGTATAGGGCCCGCAAGGGGGCGAGAGAACGCCCGGCGCAGCAACAGCTGCAACGCCCAGACCTCGGGGAACCCTCGGGCTGGCAGAAGTCAGAACGTCTGAGGTGCGGCCCCAGACATGCGACGTCCTGAATTTTTCCGGACGGCGTCCCTGGAAATCACGCCCCTCTCCCCGGGGCCGGTTTTTCGTCCCGAGTCGTTTTTTTACGCTCCCGAGGCCCGGCGAGGGCCCCCCCGGGGCCAAAAATGTAGCCATAAACCTCCCGCCCTGATTTTTTCCACGACGCGATCCTATCTGGGGCTTCGCGACGAAAGC